TCCCCATTAAAATCGAAAATTCCCCCCCCCAAATAAAAATCCAAGGAAATCTCCCGTTAAATCCCCACATCACAATCCTTTGAGTTTAGGCACATAAGGCCGAATTCCACCCTACACACCAAGCCAAAGGATTTCTTTCACTAGCCACACTTTGTCTCCTTTGTCCTAATCCCTTAGGGCCGAAATTTCCACTTCCAAAACAAGCCAAATTAGTCCTCAACAAACTCACACAACACTCCTTGGGTATTTGCCACATAAGGCCGAATTAATACACCACAACAATCCAAACAAAATACACTCCTTTTATCCTTAAATTCAACTCAATTGGATGTTTGTGATAATGTCAAATGTGAGGAAGATTGAAGGAAGTTTCCTAGTTGTATTTTGTTTTCATTTAAGTTGTATTTCCCCTCCCACTTTCCTTGTATAAATTACAGCCATGAGGCCTTGTAAACCCACTGATTATTGAATAAAAAAACTTGTGTTACTCTTTGAGAAATTTCTTTAAAATAGTGTGATGTTATTTTAGCTTAATTTCCTAATGAAATATCTCGAAAGTTGGCTACTTTTGAGTGTGTGTTAGTAGTCTGATTTTATACATTAGTAGTGATTATTAATGTGTGAGAGAAGATAAAAGCCCCAAGTTAAGAGAAGAGTGTGTCATATCTCTTAACACCAACTTGGTTTATCCCTTCACTTTACCTCTGCCCATTTCATTCCTCACTGTTTCTTCTTCTTGAACTTATTCTTTTCTTTCATTAAAAACACCAAAAAGAACTCCTTTCCCACACTCCATAATTTCGTGCCCTTCATTTCCCCTTCACCATTCCACATTTCCACCTTCAAATAGCAACTTGATTATACCCCGGGTCTCAGGTATAACACTAACCAAGCCGTAATTCTGAATCCATGGAGTTAGCAACTTGAGCCAAATGAAAATCTTGTACAAAGTTCTATTTCTAGTTTCTTATGTCATTATATCTAAGATTAACTAAAAATATAGATATAAATTTAAATGTCGAGAACTTTAATAAGGACTAGAAAGAGAAGTGCTTGGATAAAAAATTGACCCATTAATTTGGAAGCTGATTTGTTAACTAACATTGTTTAGGGCCAAAAGGTGAGGTTAGAGGTGAGGAACAAAAGACCATTTGTGGAAATATCAGTATATCACTAAACCTGCAATCAGCTATCATGATTTATTATAACCTTATAAAGAAAATTCACTTAAACATATTATGAATGTGAACAGGAATGCATCAGACCTTTGATCTTGGTGTCGGCTTCAGAAAGAAGGGTGAAGTTATTCTCCATGGCCAACTAAGTTCAAAGCAATTAAGTGACCTATAGAAGAAGAAATACAACTAAAGATAAGATGACTACGAGTTATTTATTGTATCTATGACAAAGAGAATTCAAACTTATACAACCTCAAAAAAGACCTTACGAGAAGTACTCATTGAAATCATCATAATTTCTCCAAGCTGAATGAGGTGCCCGCCCATTATCATTGTTTCTAGTTTCCTGCAAACATGAAGTTGGTTAGCTAGCTTTGAGCTATCTTCCATCCCTCCCCCTCGGAACAAAATGTCTTTGTATGCAACAAGCTCTCTTAGTTTCTATATCACTAGCTCTCATAGTTTTATGTATATTTATAAATATACACAAGCATGCACATATA